GATTTTATTGAATATATAATTGTTGTGCTTTATCATTTGTTTTCACTGTGAGAAACGGTACAGGCTGTGATTGTAGTAGGTAAAAGATTCCGAAGGACTTTGGTTCGATGATAATTCATTAATATGAGACTTCATCAAAGTTTCCCTGAAGTCAGTAAGTAGAAATTATACAAGGAGCCCATTGACTGATTGTTGGATTATACCACTCAGGTAATCGATTGAGCATTTGTAACATATCCAGAATTCGAGATGTTATTACGGTCAAGTAAATAGTGGATTGCAGCACCCTTAGCCACTTTATTCCTCCCTTAAAATACCACGTAATTTGAAGGCATGGGACAGTAATTATCATTATTTTCTGTAGATCCGAACTTGTGCTTGAAGATGACGTGTTTAGTGCGAAAGAGGTACAGGTAGTCACTTACATCTCTGTAGCGAAATAGTTATTACAGCGTCTAGTCCTTCATGTGAGCATTTCAGTGCACTGATTGCCTTAGGAACATTTTGCACATTGAGGTCTACATTAGTAATTTCGCAGAAAGGTATTGAGGTACGTTTGAGTTTCCAAGGTTTACCATTCTAAGTGAGGCTAATATGTGCGCGTTGAACATTTCATTAGTAAATTTGGCGTCCTCGTATATTTGGTTGTCTCTAAGAAATAGGAGTAAAGGCGTTCGAATAGTAAACGAAATACAATTTAATCAAGTAACCTCAATCGCAAAACCAGAATGAATGGACGAATGATGGCACAAGAATATATTTCATCCAGTAATTACGAGTTTTGATAGCGAGTATAATGAAGGTTGTCTGGCAGCAATGTCAATTACAGTTGTCCAAACAACAGTAGCAAGCCTGAGTAAGTCGGATATTCTCGCTGACCTTAAAATTCAGTCACGAACTGTAAACACGTGGTACAAAAATAGTTATGACCAGAGCCACGAATGTGAAGATATCGGCTCAAAACCTAGAACTTCCATACGGCCGAACAAAACCGATTATATAAACATTCCAACTCCATTTACACTTACGGTGTCAAGATGGCTCAACAGAGGTATTGCACGGTCATAAACGTTTCAGTTTTACTCAAAGTCCCAATGTTAAGACTTTGGATCCACAGTCTTTGCAATTACCGATATACATTTTTTTCAGCCGCAACCCAGCCTTGTCTTGTTGATGGATGTTTGGGCATATATGAATGCTTTGCCTTTACTTGGCTACGCAAATGGCTATAACTGCGAGATATTTTTTTACTGGAGTGTTTATTTGGTCCTAACACATGGAGGGGTAATAGCGTCTTTTTAACTCTCTTGGACTCCTCAGCTGGTTCACTGATGTCCAATAGTGTGGCCAGTCGTCTGAAAGCTGAATCATCAAATACTACTTTAATTCTTTAATGGAGATCGTTCGAGTCCTTGAAATTGTTAGGCTTGTGAATTTTCATCACCCGTAAAGTATCTGCCCTCTCAGTCACAGGTTCCATATTAACACTTCTGACTTACAACTACTGACTGAACCTTGGTTGTCATTGATGGGAATAAGCTATTAAAATGCCTTCAGAAAGATCCATCCCTAAAATCACCTACTATGGCAGTCGTGAAATAGTTTGGAAAGCTGACAACGAGTCGATTAGGCATTCCAATGGAAGCCACTTACAGGAGCAGGCTGATGAAGCAACTTTAGTAATATTTGTTCGGAACCACACGATCCTCAAAGCTGAACATATAATCACCGAGGAAAATCAGAATTGGGGAAGGCGAAATCAATTGATCGGTATGGAATGGCTCAGCCAATATTCGGTTTAAATGCAGGACTGACGAATCAAAATTTATTCGATTAGACCAGACCACGTTCTTCTGTATAGCGTACAAAGCGTTTTTGAGTTACTCATATTAAATCATATCAGGACACAGACTCTGTGCTCAATCTAAGCGGTTCTAATTTACGAAATAGAACAAATCATTTCATCAATACAAAGCACCTCAAAGGGCACAGCTGGTATTACACAGTCAAAAGTTTCTTTAACACAAAGTAGTGTGCTAAACCACAAAGGAGACAGTTAATACGAAAGAGTTCATTTCCTAAGAATCAAAAAAATATTCACAACAAGATGGGATCAAATATGTATCTGCAGGGATATCAGCAGTCTTCCCAAACAGACAGTCAAAGGTTAGCAGTCAAACACTGAACCACGCCGTGACTCTGAGCTTAGTCAAACACGACCTTACTGTCAATAGTCCGGCAGCATGCAAGAGAAAATTAATCAAAATCACATAATAAAAGCTTGGACGAGAAAGACTGAAGAACATAAAGTGTGGTCAAAAGAGGTCTGGACAAAGATTATGATACACGACAGGGAGAAGAAACAAGTAAATTACAATACTGTCCAGCAAAAATGCTATGGAGAGATTTACAACGTTCTCTTTCCGTTACACCGTTGTTATACAAAATAATGGTAGAATTCAGCTGGACTTCTATTGGTATAAGCCACAATTAAAATGGAAGCATTGAATTATGAGTTAGAACATGTTTGTAACCTTATTTTATCTATACACTATATCTCGCTTACTCAGCTAAGTAGTGAGCAAGCTGTATTGGTATTGCCAGCTCCACTAGCTGCCATGGAAATCGGTCATTACCAGTGCTCAGAGACAATATAACTTTTCTTCTGATCTCTCTTCTTGATGGGAATGTGTTTAAGTGTAGGCCAAACTAACATGCTTGTTTGGGTGTTTGGTAAAATAGGAGTCCCCTAACCATTAGCTTATCAGCATCTTTATCAAAGCTGCATACTGTACTTTTCATCTTCATTAGGCTTCTTGCAGTAATCCACGTAATTGGGAGTAAAAATTCAGTAATTTATTCCATTCCAATTGTTTCTGGATATTCTTGTTTTATTTTCTTACTTTCTATTCTCTTACAACCTCTGATCTTCTAATGAGGTACACATTAAGCAAGCCATGAGCAGTAATTTATTAGAAAAGTTAGATGCTATGAGGTGAGATAATAAGTTAGTAAAGTGTATGACATCCATGGAGTATCTCCGAATATTGACTGGGTGTTGGTCGTTATCGAGTCAGCGACACTTTTTAGTCTGTGAAAACCCAGCCGATACGTTCTTTTTTGGTAAGTTGATCGAACTGACATTCCTAAGGAAGTGGATTTTAGACGAATGCTAAGGCTGATTAATCAGGAGTTGGACGAAAATATCTCAGCCATGTCACAACATTGTAGCCCAAGTATTCGTTTACATCCTTATTTTGTATGGACATTATATTTCCCATTATTTCATATCTAATAGTGGAAAGCTTTGTGTAAAGCGTGATCGATAAACGAACCCAACAATAATAATATGAAACGCCCACCACCACATTAACTTTCTTTGACGTAGTATGAATATGTCTTGTTTATGTTCATTACAAAACATTATTCGCTTCGATGACACATTTTTCCTATATTCTAGTTATTGTTCGAAACTCTGTGCTCGACAGTCTAGAGAATGGCTTAGAATTACACATGTAGGATATTACTTCCTACACTTTATGTGCTTTAAAATGATAACCCTGCTCTCCAACTGTTCTACCACACGACCTAATTAAAGACATATTCACGAAGTGTCTGGTTTCTTCTCTCGATAAGAGGAATGATACCCATCAGCACGGAAAGCTCTCTGGTTAAGTAACTGAAGTCACTATACAGTTTTGGTGCTTTTACAAAGTTACTTATCCTGAGCCACCAATAATGCCTCAGACGATCCATAGGAATATAAGGTCACAGCTTATAAAAACTCAAATTTACGTAGATTTACTCCCAACTGTCAGTTGCGCGTCGCAACGCAACCTCCATAAAGCACGCCAACTGTCGTATTGAAAATACGGATCTTACTGATATTATTTGCATTCATACGTGAGAAGCATTATACAAATTATTTTTATGATCAATGTACTTATAAAATATCAAACTAAATGAGTAACCCATCATAGTGAAGACTGTATCTTTAGTAGCAATTTAATCTTGCCTGTAAATTGGCATGCCTCATGTAACAGACTGTTATTTGAGAATTAACTATTATTATTAAATGTGCTCTAAAAAGTCTTCATTAAATTTAATGTGCCGTCCAGTTGCTTCATATATTGTGAAAGTTGTGACGATTTTCTATCTCACAAATCGCGTGGTGTTGATAGCTGTTATAGTCTTTTTCTCTGAAGCTGTTATGCATCACATGACTGTTGTATTGAGTTTATCATACACGTTTTGTTCCGGCACTTGCGAAGTGTCGTTGAAACAAGATCTCTAACCAGGAGTTACCTTTTGTCTTTTCTAATCGTTTTGTATTCGAATGACTGAGTGTTACTTCACTGAAGATACTCGGCCTCCTTTAGGCCATAGAGATAAGTTTGGCCACGTTTCTCCTTTTCAGTACAGTGGAATGTACGGCTACATTCAGCGGGTGTTTACTTTCTTGTGGGAGTTAAATATATTGATGTATTCCGATAATTTCAGTTCATTGTTCATTTTACATTCATGAATAATATACAAGTTAATATCAAGAGTTTTTAAAACTCATCTCATTTGGTCAAGGCTCCTCTCTTCCTGAATCTCCTTTATGAAGAAAGATCGAGTTTCAGAAGAATGTAGGTAGTTGCTTACTAGAACCGTAACAAGTATCAGGGGTTTTCCTCTTTAGAGTCACTTGTAGATGGAGACAGATGGTAGCGTCTACTATCGTCTCACTTCTTAGCAATTTCTTAATGATTTGTTCCGCAAAAAACTGTGACGACGGCCTAGATGCTTATCAGGTCATGTAAGTATCTGATATTGGTGTTTGGATACTCGAACTCCTTCAAATATATTGTGTCCACTGCTAATTATACCTATTTGCTGGACTCATTGCTACAGCCATCGACAAAAATATAAAGACTACACGTCCATTTCTAGGTATGGTCACGAATAAGTTAGCTGGTTCGTATCGGTTAGTGACAAAGACATTGGATGATGAACGTTGTTTGTTCAGTCCACTTCATGCATACTAGCCGCCACGCATTGTGATTTTGGTGTTGACGATGACGGGTTTGTCTTATGAATGTTTTTTATTATAATTGTTTCACATAGTTAAGTTTTTGGATATCGTCAAGCCGTTTTGTGCAATCCTACCGGAGATCTCCCGTCCTGAACGGAAGATTCAGTTTAGAGAACGGGTGTTATGGACGGGAATAACTCTGATGATATTTCTGTTTTGTTGCCAAATACCACTTTTTGGCATAATGTCGTCTGAATCTGCCGACCCTCTCTACTGGCTTCGAGTGATTTCTGCGTCAAACAAAGGGACACTTATGGAACTTGGGATATCTCCAATCATAACATCTGGTTTAATTATGCAGCTTCTTGCTGGGATACAAGTGCTCTCTGTTGGTGATGCACCGAAAGACAGAGCTTTATTTAATGGAGCTCAAAAATGTAAGACGTCATTAATTTCTGACCCTTCAGTATTCGGTATGGTTATAACTGTTGGCCAAGCTTCTGTGTATGTTATGTCCGGAATCTATGGTGCACCAAGCGAATTAGGTGCAGGAATTTGTTTGTTGATAATCTTCCAGGTTTGGTGTTGTTTTTTTAATCACTATTCTTTAAGCTAACGTTTGCAGGTCTTTTGGTTTTGATGTTGGATGAACTTCTCCAGAAAGGTTATGGTTTGGGCTCTGGTATATCTTTGTTTATTGCAACTAATATTTGTGAAACTATCGTGTGGAGAGCAATAAGCCCTACTACAATTAACACTGGACGAGGTAGATGTCAAGTTTTACGTTTATTTTTCCAGGTACGGAGTTCGAGGGTGCTATAATATCGCTTTTCCATCTACTGGCCACTCGTACAGATAAAGTTCGTGCACTAAGGGAAGCGTTTTATCGTCAAAATCTGCCAAATCTAATGAACATACTTGCAACTATTCTTGTATTTGCTGTCGTCATTTACTTCCAAGTAAGTTAACTACAATTCTCGAATTCTTCAGAGCTTCAGAGTAGATATTGCAGTCAAGTCAATCCGATATCGTGGACAATCAACTTCATATCCAATCAAACTTTTCTATACCAGTAATGCCCCGATCATGCTTCAAAGTGCACTTGTCTCTAATCTTTATGTAATGTCACAAGTAAGTAGCATTGCATTTTCAAAAGATTTTTGTAGATGTTAGCTAGTAAGTTTCGAGGTAACTTCATTATCAATCTTTTGGGTGTTTGGTCGGATGGTGAAGGTGGTTCTCGATCTGTACCTATCGGAGGATTGTGTTACTACATGACACCTCCAGATTCCTTAGGAGATATGCTAGTGGACCCCATACACGGCATTTTGTATATTGCTTTCATGCTTGGAAGCTGTGCGTTTTTCAGTAAAATATGGATCGATGTCTCAAATTCCAGTGCTAAAGATGTAGTTAAACAACTCAAAGAACAACAAACTGTCGTTCCAGGACATCGGGAGAATTCAATGGTGCATGAATTGAATCGTTACATTCCAACAGCAGCCGCACTTGGTGGTCTATGTATCGGCGCTCTTTCAGTATTGGCAGACTTCCTAGGTAAGATGGTAATTTTAGTTTCTTGAGTTGCATTTTAATAATTACTTCAATAACCAAGAGTAACCGTCAGTCGAAGAATTTTTTCGTTACATCTTTATGTGAATCACTAAGTGGACCAATGACAATCTGAATAAAACTTAATTTGCGACCATTGGTTTACAGGTTTAGACAGCGAGTAGCTTTAATTGCATTCACACGACGTATGAAACTCCCATAATAAATAAATATAGTTCAGTGGCATTTCATTTTAACCATATATAAATCTAGTTACTTTGGAGGAGGGCGTCAAAGCATCCAAGGTACACGTCCTCATTTCACAAGAAAGCAGTCGGCTGTTTACGGGGAAATAGCTTCGAGTCAGTGACCGTAATGAGAAAGAATTTATTCTCGCATAAACTTCAAAGATCGTTATTCTATGCATTCTGCTCCATATTTCTACGCTGATTTTTTGCCTTCTGTTCTCAGACAATTTCGGTACACTCATTTTTACTACTTATCTCTGGTTCTGTTTCTGTGTGCTAATATGAAACATGGCAACGATATAGTTCTTGCCAGGTCCTGAATTACTTTCGTTTATTTGTCCACTTGTGATTATTTACAATCTCTACTCTGCATAGCAATCTTCCCTGTAAGGGTGTTACTTCGCTTGAATTTGAGACCAAACACCCACTAAGTTACTATATCTTCTGTTTAATACATACGTTTTACGTAAGTTCCTTATATTGATTCATGTGTGATATTACTCGAAAACATTTCCATATAGTACATCTCGTTGGCGTAACCTAGTAGAGCTCTCAAATATCGTCTATTGGAAATCTGTCATAATCCTTTAAATTGTCCATTTATAAATGGTAGATGCTCATTTTTATTTTCGTTTGTACAGTTTATCACAATATGCATGTACAGTGAGACGGTCATTTATAAATACACATACTAAGATGTTACTTGGTGTTAATCGTTTTTTCCAGTACTGTATACTTAATACGGTAAGATATTCTCAAAAAGAATGTTTACCGACTGTCTAAATGCTGATTGTAAGAGTGCGTTTTGAACTAATGACCATGTTTCAAAGTATTCTCCGAATAACCCAGTTACTAAAATGGTAGCTTTGTCGTTATTGTAATTTATTAATCGAATATAAGTTCGAATATTCAGCATTAAGTCCAGACCGAAGTAAGCAGAGCAGGATTCGAATCCGCTACCTAATAGGTGATATAAATGTTTTAACCATAAAAGCATTACTTCAGATCATTTATTTATCTTATAGGGTTAATGACACAAGATCCTAGCAACTGATCCTGGGTGTCTTTGAAACACTATCAGTCAACTACAACGTAGGACCATGCATCGGTCCAAGTTGCCACACCTCATTAGTACAACAAAATGAACACCAAATTCATAGTTATTACTTCAAGGGTGGTAATATATAAAAAAGATTGTGTATAAGAATATAATACAGGAAGAAATAATTAGTTCGTTTAAAGCAATTTCAATTTTTAAGGAAAGACAAAGAGTGTATACAGCTACGCCATTGTGGTCGATTTTGAGCCATGTCACCCAGAAACTCCAACCATTGATTACGATGGTCACGCAGACCCCAACCAAGTAGTCTACATCTACCAACATGGCTAAAACCAGAAGTCAGTGACTTTATGGACTGGTGCAACGTTTTGTTTAGTGCACCCCCAACTTTCTTTCAACCATCTCCAATGCCGGTTGGCGTTGGACGTCGTGATAATCAGTGTTCAGGCATATGTAACACGTGGCCTAACCATCTCAGTCGATGAAGATTCATAATCTCATCAACTGATTTACCATCGTTCCCCCATACTCTGCGTTTAACCTCACTATTACTTTCCTAGTGATCCCAGCAGATGCGAGCAATATTCCTAAGGCATTTGTGATCAAATACTAGTAGCTTACGAGTATCTTCTACCCTTAATGGCCGTGTTTCGCAGCCGTAAGGTGAAACAACGGTCTACCGCGCAGTGTATTCGTCCTTTTATTGATAGACGGATATCTCGCCTTTGCCATAGGTGACGTAAGTTGGCAAAAGCCAAACGTGCTTTGCAACACTGATGTATTATAGGACCACTACAGATATTTTGAGATTAGGCAGTGGTAAATTGTTCCGAAGTTATTGGTATCCAGCAAGTAAGCTGGTAGGGGTGTTTCGTTAGCCCAGTCATCACCTGTTTCATGCTACTAATCAAGCACAAGAAGTAGGTTCATGCCATTATTAAACAGCTTTCCTCGGTTTACTACCACTGTCAGGTTTATTATCTTCACATATCTTTCTTGTTAATTCCTCTTTTTCTCGTGTTGATTGTGACAGCTTGTTCCAACACATTTTTACTAGATTCTACTTGTTCGTTTAACCCAAATCAGTCGTTCCAAACAACGCACTTTCCTAAGAGCAGGCTCATTGTTAGTTTCATATGACCCTTTACTTAAGTCCTAAAATCTCGATAATGAATAGTGTAAAGGCTTGTAATTGTCATCAGTTGTGAAAATACAGCTCTTGTTATTACTACTTTTTATATAAGCCGGCCAAATATTGAGTGAAGAGCTCATTCAATCAGTCAGCTACGACGTAGGACCAGGCACATATATACATCGATCCAAGTTGCCATACCTCATTAACACAACAAGAGCTCATTAGTACAATCTGTTCCCACTGGAGCGTTCGTGGAATCCCATTAGCGGGGTGATAGCTTAGTGATTCAAGTTTTTGACCTTCGGTCACTAAACTCTAGATTCAAACCCCACTCCACTTCAGTTTGGGGACAATGTTATAAATTCTCACACTTCGGATGTAGATCCTACCCAAGTAAGCACCTGACAAGTTGGTTAATTTATTAATTTTTCATACTAGATATGACAAATATCCTTTGCAAATTGTGTGTACTAAAAACTTAACAACAATTCCAGTGGTTTCATTGATATAGTTTATTCACAAATCAACTTATTTGTTTCAGGTGCTATTGGAAGCGGAACAGGTATTCTCATGGCTGTCACAACAATCTACCAATACTATGAAGTATTTGTTCGAGAGCAAAGCGAGATGGGTGGTTCTATGAGCTCTTTGTGGTTATAAGGAAATATCACAAGTCTTTCTTATGTATTCAAAACTTTTCGTTATGTGTTCCAGTCTGCTACATGTAAAATGATTGAGTGGTTAAAGACATAGATTCGGATTGTATACTAAAAGGCTTTAAAAAGTCAACATATTTTGATTGTATATTTTAGCATTTCTTTAAACCAGTAGTTATTGGTCATCATTCACATAATAATAAATGTTTGGTTTTTTCTGTGCAGTATTTATGTCCTAATATCACTCCAACATGTACATTTTGATCATTACCTACTGCTTTGCACCTTTAATTTGTGATCATTAAACGTTTCATGCTTTCTTTAGTTCTTTTTTTTCAAAATATAAAAATAAGGTGTTTTTACAGTCAATGTAGAACCAGTCATTAATGTTGATTAGGTTTTAATTGTAATACGAACTGCACTATCGACTATGTAGTGTTGCACGAAGTAGCAGTTGAAAAATGTAAATGTTGAATTTCTGTGTATAACGTTATTGATTTCGTCAATAGACTCAGTTACTTATGTACTCACCACACCAGACTAATAAGTACCGATCGCACCATATGTGTATTCGACTATTGACATTCTCACATATGTTGAAGATTTTGCGAGTAGCCTACCATATAATTATAATTCTGTCACTACATTTGTGTCGTTGTGATGATAGACTATCACCGGGCAATCTTAGTGGATTTTCATTATTAAACTGTTAGTTTACTGTCAGTCGTGAGGAATTCCATTTAGTAGGGAAAATGGTGTATTGGTTTAATGAACACTGGCCTACTGAATCATAATTAGTTGTGGTGTCTCGAGGGTGTGATAACGTTTTGAAACGTATCATAGATAGTGAGATTTCATTAAAGGGATGGCATGTGTCAGTTGTGGAATATACCCTCAGAGCACCGTATGTTGCTAACCAAGTAGTTATGTTGTCAAGATATTTCTTAAAAGTATTCAGAGTGAGATAATACCTACTACAAGTAACTAACCACATACTGGGCAGGTATGAACCTGTTACAATTTTTGAAACAACCCTCTATCGCGTACTCGATCACAGGCTTGTGAGTCATATGTACCAAACAACTATTGCACCTCAACAGTAGATATTATCTGTGAACAGCCATTATTGCCGAGCCAAGGCCAAAGATCACCGACAGTCGCGTGCCTGCTGCAAAATTTTTCGGAAAATATCAGTGTTTAAAATAATGTCACGGGCTCAAGCAACTTACGGTTCATATCAACTACAAGTAAGGAGGGAAATGATATACAAAGTGGAATTTTTCTGGGGACTGCAATATAAGGCTTTTCCACTCTTCACATTAAAATAGCTCACATCTGTATAAATTTTGCGATATCTTTGGGGACGGTGAATGATCCACGACAGGACCGCCCAAGGCACAAATCCACCAGAAACATCTTTCTAAGCTATAGATTTTCACCGTGTCAAAAGCAAGCGTATCGCATAGAAGCAAAGTATCATAGATTAAAGTGTTCGTGCAATAAAGATAAAAAGGATATCTGGACATGGACATCAGATAAATCGTTTACGACTGAGTTATGTTTTCCTGTTCAGTTTTGAAGCCAGCCACCAATAGTAACTTTTAGTCCCCGCGACTCAAACAACAGAAATATCATTCAGTGGAAATGCATACACGAAGAATGCTCATCCTGTCCTTCCTTTTTGTCAAGAAGCTGCATTGCGAATCCCTAGCTAAAGTTACTCTTCCCCATACTTTGGTCAATCATAGTCTTCCGGATGCACCAGTTAGTCAGACAACCGCCGCTTTCTCAGGAAACCTACTTCAAAATACGCTATCACTGACAAACCTTTCTGCTCCTTTAACCACTAGATCACAAGTTCGAGCCCTGAGCCGTCACTTGGAATATACCATAAAATTAACCACGCGAATCTGTCCTGAGTAAATGGGTAACATGACCACCTCTTAAACTTGCACAGTGAGGCTTACGATAGAGGAAATTTCCATCTTTGAATCCCTTCTAAGAAATCTATGGCCATATGTACGTCAAAATATAAGTCAAGCACTCCAACGATACTTAAATCAATCTGAATGTCAGAACTAAGGCACCACACCTTTTGTCGGAAAATAACGTCTTAAAAGTATCAGTGTCGTGTTTGCAGAGCATTCTCTACATTCCATCGAGCGACTGTTGAAGCACTTAAAATTCGGGCTCATTTGGGGATAACCTCTAACTTTCCTGCCCCACGCAGTTTATGTAGCCGAATTGCGGATAAAGGCTCTTAACACACTTGGACTAAAAGCTTTGCTCCCGATTAAGGAGAAACGTGACCCTAACTGAAGTGATGTACCGCACAGAGAAACCTAGCAATAATTGTAAGCTGACTGTGGTTGGCCTGAAGGGATTTTGAGCATCTTCATAAAGATGTTATTGGGGTTTTATACCCCGCCTATGTTATGTCTCAACCAGCTGATAGTCTTGAACATATATTCCGAAATACATTGGTGACAAAACTGTTACGTATTCATAAGGAAGTGAAATGCTCACCCACCGTTTTCTTATCACTTGATGCTAGGGGACCATATGCACTTCTACACATTGAATGGGGACATGCCTTAGAACAGCACCACAAAGTCAGTCAGCTACAACGTAGGGCCAGGCACATATGTGCATCGGTCTAGGTTGCCATACCTCATTAGCACAGCAAGATGAACACTGAATTCATAGGAGTGGTTAGGTCAAAGGTGGTAATATATAAGAGAAAGATTGCAGTAAGGATATAGTATAGGAAGAAAGAAGTAGTTAGTAGAAAGAAAGAAATGAAGTGATTTTAATGTATTAGTTTAAGGGAAGACAGGGAGTGTACACACCGACGCCATTGTGATCGATTCTGAGCCATGTCACCAAGAGTCTCCGACCATTGGTTACGAAAGTCACGCAGACCCCAACCAAGTAGTCTGCATCTACCAACATGGCTAAAACCAGAAGTCAGTGACTTTATGGACTGGTGCAACGTTTTGGTTTGGTCGTCCCCAACTTTCTTCCAACCATCTCCAATGCCGGTTGGCGTTGCACGTCGTGGTAATCAGTGTTCAGGCATATGTAACATGTGGCCTAACTATCTCGGTCGACGAAGATTCATAATCTCATCAACTGATTCACCATCACTCCCCCATACTCTGCGTCTAACCTCACTATTACTTACCTGGTGATCCCAGCTATATTTCTAAGGCATCTGTGGTTAAATACTAGTAGCTTACGAGTGTCTTCTACTCTTAAAGGCCATGTTCCGCTGCCGTAAATTAAAACCACAAAGACTAACAGCTATCTTCATTCATTAATCTGACTTGATGTCTAGTGATATAAATGTAGCGTAAGCTGATCAGCTGGTATGAAAGGCGTACTCGGTGCATTAAATCCAAACCTAGAATTACGTCGTAAAGGCAAAACTACATCATGGGCATGATACTTGACTGCATCAAATAGTAAACTGATGGGCGATATTTATGTTGACCTATTCTTGATTACCAACAAAACTGATTGTGCAGTTTAGCTGGTATGGTTATAAAACCTTAATGCTCACTAAGAAAATAACAAATAAACGACTGGCTAGTGTTGTGATTTGAGGTGTTCTTGTGACCGCCTGGTTTCGTGATGTAGTCAGGACTCATAAGACGTCAAGTTGTTGGAAATGTTATAACTTAAGTAGGTAATTGTCTAGGATGTACCAAACGGTAATAGCTACTAAAGTAAATATTTGGTTAATACCTTAAACCACTAAAACCTTGTTCACTTAATCTACTGTGAACATCATAACTACGAACACATCAAGAAATATATCGATATTTTCGAACTACAATGCCTTATTCACCCAATTTCAGGCGAAGCACTTAGTATTATTGAGGTAGTGGAGTTCCAAAAAACGTTAGATAATCAAATCAAACCATAATGTATTCAATGTGTGTTATTACAAACGGCGACCTCGACGGCCTCCTTTGCGTCGCGTGCTATCTGTTGGAATGGGTGTGACATCTTCTATGCGGCCAATGCGCATTCCCGAACGTGCGAGGGCTCGCAGAGCAGATTGTGCAGCAGGACTTGGGGTGCGGACCCTAAAGTCATTAAAAACACAACGAAATGAAGCCTACTTTGTTCCACCAGTTGCTCGGATACGGATATGTAGGGCGTTTATGCCCAATGTTTTGCATTTCTCTGCGACATCTTGAGCTGCAAGCATAGCAGCATATGGACTAGATTCATCGCGATCGGCTTTAACTTTCATGCCACCCGTGACACGAACGATGGTTTCTGCACCTGTCGCATCCGTTACGTGAACAAATGTATCGTTGAATGATGCGTAGATGTGGCAAACTCCGAATACAAATTCGCCTTCTGCAACTTGAGGACCCAAAGAAACTTGCTCTTCGACTACCTTTCTAGCTCCTTTACGCTTTGCCGCCATCACGCTTACAAACGAATAGTGCTCGAGTAGCGTCGGTGACGAGAAGGTTCAACAAAATATTCACTGTCCAAAAGATTTATGAATTAATACTCCCCATTTCTAGTATTGCTTTTGTTTTTCGAAGTCTTATTTTTATCGAGTGAGTGCATGAGGCTTTTACTTTACTGCTGAGATCGGGAATTATGCTCGTGTAATTGCCGAACCTCTGGGAACTATGTTTGATACGTCTTTGCTGCAGTAACTTGTTAGCCTAACCAATGTAGTTATCAAACTAATATAAACAATAATTCGTATGGCTATTTTGAAATATATGGAACGGAATAATCTTCTACCCAGGGAACAACATGATTTTGAGAAGAACCCACCATGCTTGACGAATCTGCTCATTGAAAGAGAAAATCGAACCTCAAAGGACAGTAGTAATGTCCCGGCAGATGAAGTATACAAATATCTGAATAAAGGTCCTTACTTAAGCCTCAAATCCATTTCAAGATGATGAACTGAATAGGTGAATTTCTCAATAATAAGGGACACAGGTAAACAAGGCTCTAACAACGTAGGAATCTGTAAAAAGTGAAATTCCTCAATGTGAGATCCTCTGTCTTTCTGCTTTTTTATTTAATGCAGACGACTAAACAACTGCAGCAAAGTCATCTGTTCTAAGATTTGCGGATGAAATAAAGATTTAGAGACTCAAATACAGTATGTCGGATAGAATATGACTTACTCACATAATTATTTACTTCCTTACGCCTGTTACTCACAATGGAGCATAGGCCGCCGACCAGCACTCTCCAACCCACTCTGTCCTAGGCCTTCCAGTTCTATCCAATTATTGTTCATTCTTCTCATGTTTGTCTCCGTTTCCTGTCGTAGTGTGTTCTTCAGTCTTCCTCTCCTCATTTGGCCTTGGGGATTCCAGGTGA